TTGTATTGAAGAAGTGTCATGTGCGTAGACACTTTTTGGGCGAAAAGTGGCTACACGCAAGCATATTTGAGAAATTGTGCTGCACGTAACTACTTTCAGGACCAAAAGTGACCACTCTAGAAGCTGTGTTGCATAGAGTTCCCTACGTGTAGCTACTTTTGTCATAAAAAGTTGCTACTTCAGTGTTGTACTTGCTATGCGTAGCTACTTTTGAGGCAAAAATCGGCTATGCCAAAAGCGCAAGAAAATTATAAATAGACTTGAACTCAGAATTCTGATGGATCTTTTTTCATTTTTCTTTCTACATTCTTAAAAAGTTAGAGAGAGGATTGAGGACAATTTTCACGGTTCAAATATAGAGGAATTAGGCTTGAAACTTGAATTTATGGAGATTTTCTGGACCTTCTCTTCTACTCTTTCTTTCTTTTTTTCTTTTATAATCATGTTCTAGTTTTTTTTTTTTTTTTTTTTTTGCTGATATGTTCTAGTTTGCTTTGGTTAGGGATTAATGGATCTGGTTTGGACATTGTAAATTGATTGTGGATCTGAATTTTAAGATCTTGATTGTATTAAACATTTAATTCTTTCTTTAATGCAATTCTTAGATTACTATTCAATTGAATTAAACTTAGAAAGTTTTCATTAATGAAAGTTGAGTTAATTTTTCATATCTGAATTGAATGTCAAGGTTATTGATATCTTAGGAATAAACATTCATGATCTTGTAATCTCTTAACTTTTAATATCTAATGTAATGTTTGATTGATTTACACCTAAGGAATTAAGGTCGTTAATTGAATATTATGATCATTGAGTTAAGTAATTAAACATTGATTAACCTAGTAAAATTCATCATCAATCAATTAAAGAACTTAAGAGTTCAAATTACATTCAGTTTTGTAATTAACAAATTGGTGAAATCAATCCTAACTTCATTCGATATATCATCTCATGTCTCATTTTTTCACTCTATTTTGTTGTTACCTTTTTAATTTCTCTGCACTTTTATGATTTGGTTCCCAAATGTTCAAAACATCTCAAATTTCAGTTAGCTCAAATAGTCTTTGATTTGTGAATTGTTTATTGAATGAATCTATCCTTGAGAACGATATTCGGAACTCAAATTTTTAAAATTTATTACTTGCTACGACTAGCTAGTACATTTGCTAGATAGGACTCTAAGAGTGTGACACTAATGTTATTATCTCCCCACTTTAACCAATTCAGTCTAACTCTGACTTTAAAACATCTATTATATATTATGCCTAAGGCTTAAGTCCCTCCTTAAGATGTTATTGCAACACTTCATTGAAATCACCTATATAACACTAGGCTTCTTCTAGATTTTTGTAGAGTAATTTTAAATGCTCCTACAATTGTCTTATAAGCTTGAAAGTTTGGTTAACATGGATAAATGAACAACGAACTTATTTTGCAAAAGCTTTAGTGTTAATTATTGCATGAATGATATTCTAGCAATAAGTTGTTACTTCAATATCAATACAGTCATTCCATATAATACATAAACCTCCACTTAGTCCCCAAGGATCCACTAAAAACTAACTTCTAAACTCCAACTATTGAGATTTTTCTCCCTTTCTTGCCTTAATTTCTATTAAGAAAAGTAGGGATAACTTAAAAATGATATGACTGATAATATGATTCCAAAGAATACAGGTTTTAAGGTGTGCTTGAATGGAGTGTGTCATTGGTGGGTATAAGTACACTTAATGATGAAGAGTTTTTGATGTCATTTAACTTGAACCATAAGGTATTGTTTACAACATCCGTACCTTCACATCTGCACCATCAAATTGGAATAGTGCATAAAGAGTTGGTGGAGTTGAATGGAACCATTACTTTGATCTCAACTTTAATAGGAAAGACTACTAATTTTTACATATCAATTTTGGGTGAACTTGGTGTGAAGGAATCATGGGTTAAACTCTTTGTTATTGGAACCTTACATTGTGTTCAAGAAACAATTGGATTTGGAAAGAAAGGAGAGATATTCTGTAGAGAAAATATGATTAACTAGTTTGGCTAAATTTAAGTACCCCAGATGTTAGAGGAAATTGTTGTCAAAGCATCGTCTAATAGTCAGGTTTTACTTTATAAGGAAAGACTTCTTCCATTTTGAAGAATAAATAAGTAACTGTTTTCTACTGAAAATTTAAAGCATCACTTAAGAGATTTATCATTTTTAGGATTATTACTATGTTAAATGTAACATTTGTATACAAATTGGCTTATCGGTTGCCCTTGTTGAATCTATGAATATATGAGAAAAAAAACTATTTTGTAATATGAGTTTTTCTTTAACAATTTTTTTTCGATGCTTTACCCTCTTTTCACGTAAATTCTCCTAAATTCTATTTCAATGGTAAGAGTGATGTTTGGTCTTTTCTGAACAGCTTCAATTTCTATGACACGTCGGACAATAGAAAAGAAAGAATAGCTCTAGTTGAAATTTTGCTAGAAATATTTATGTCATGCACCTTATTTTGTCTTTCCCCTTATACACTTTTTGGTAAAATTAGTCCGAAAGTTTTGTGGCAAATTTATTTGAATAATGCCATTTTAAAAATATATTCCTAAAATAGAGTTTTTTTTAAACAAATTCCTTGTTTGGTGCAAATTTTGGACAGGTCATTACCTGTATCGCATCTACATATACGATAGACTATTTTTTTTAATCTTTTAAAACACTATCGATAACCCCCAACTGATACTCTCTCAGAATTGAATACGTGGAGACAAAGAATTTTGAGTAATTAAAAAAAAGAAAAAAATAAAAAATTTTACTTGTATCAGACAAATAAGGGTGATAACTGCCACATGTACTATCATCATTTGTATCATCTCATAGCCTCTTTTAAAATCAACGGCTAGGAAGAATCGAAATACGTGTTAAAATCCTATACTGTATTGATTCTGCCTCATCGATTAGCCTATTGGTGCATCAGTGGCGATAGTGCTTCTGATTGTGACACTTGGCGTGGTTGATACTGGTGCCGTAGAAGCCTTCTTCTTCCCCTCCTTGCACTTCATCTTTCATTAACACCGGCCAGAAGCATTTTCTCCATTACTAGTGTAAAATTTCAGAAAATGATTCATTGATTTTACAATATTTTTCTAAACAAAATTCAAAGGTAAAAATGAAATTATCCAATAAATATGTTTATTTTATTTGTAAAAAAATAAAAATTTGTTATATTTTAAATATTTGCTGGTGCTAGTACCGGAGAATATAAAAGTTAAACTCCATTTCAATCGGCAAAAGAGGTTAATGAAGGATAAAAATTTCATGTATAATTTTTTTGTAATTTATTTTAATGTTTCTATATTTTTTGCGTAATTTAATGTAAAATTAATTGAAAATGTAATATTTGAATTAAATTTTTTTCTTAAAAATAGATTTAGAAGTTGATTAATTGTTGTTATATTTAATTCTAAAGTTTAGCATTAAATTAAAAAATTTATAATATGTTTACATTTAAGTACAGTTGTGAAAAAATTGTAAGTTTTGTGTAAAATATTTAGTAAAGTCAATAAAAATAGATTAATATTTTTTAATTGTGAATAAAATAAATTTTTGGTTAAGTGTTTTTATAAAATAGTAAATTGAAATTAAAGTAATCTATAATTACAGCATAATAATATATTAATTTGGCTGAGAAGAAAAATAGATGAGTTAAATTAAGAAATTAAAATTGCATAATAAAACATGATAAATTAATTAAAATTTGTAAAAAATTTCATCACTGTTAAGATTAATTAGAAGGGTAAATTAAAAGTATAGAAAGTATAATTTTATGAAACATGTTTAAAATGTGGAATAATTTTGAGTTGAGTAAATCAAAATTTCACGGAAACAAATTTAAAAAACAGTAAACAGTAATTTAAAATTTGTTATCAATAAATTAGAAATAATAGAATTTTAAAAGATTAAAATTATAAATAAATTCATTCTTAATGAAGATATGAAGAGAAAATTTAAAATATAATTTAAATGAAATATATGTATATTTAAAATAATAAAAATGTAATATCGTTAAAAATAATAATTACAACAAATAATTTGTCTGAGGATAAAAAATCTATGTAACTTATTTGAATTGTATTTATATAAAGTTAAAATTTTTTTGAATTTTAAGGTTATTATAGACTAATATAGATTTTATATTGGTAACATTTGTTTAAAAAATTGTAATTACATGATTATTGAGTTCCAATTCAAAGTACATGCACGTGCGATACAGGTGATAACTTGGCCAAAATTCACATCAGACAGGCAATATGTTTAAAAAAAAAAAAACCTATTTTGAAAATATGTTTTTAAAATGGCATTATTTAAATAAATTTGCCAAGTTTTGCATTGCATATTTTGGCAGTTATTGAAATGTGGCATGAGACATGGCAAGTCCTCACTTGTATTGTTCTCTACATGCCGATACTGCTGATGCAGTTTAATCATTTAAGACCAACTAATATACCTATTCATTTGACACATGTCATTCATCCACGTGCATCACCACTTGACAATCAATAAAGCTGACACTCTTTAACCAACAATTTGCCTATCGTTTGCGAATGGACGATACAACTCTAATTTTAACACGTGTCTACCTTCGAGCAAGTGTCGGTTAGACAACACCAATCGTGTATTAAAAAATTAAAAAACTAGCCTATCATACATACATGTGCAATACAGGTAATAACCTAGCCAAAATTCACATCAGACAAATAATATGTTAAAAAAAAAAAACCCTATTTTAAGAATATATTTTTAAAATAGCATTATTAAATAAATTTGCCAAGTTTTGCATTGCATATTTTGCAGCTTATAATTGATAAGTTAAATAAAAGCTTATATCGTATAGGTGAAAGCATATAACTTAAAGTGATGGGAATATACACTTTAATTTATTAGTTAAACTTTATTAAAAATTATAAAGGTATAACCGTAATTCTAGATTAAGAGTGAGATTTTTTTTAATAAATTATATTCAATAATTAATTATATATCAACTATGAAATGAGAAAGTGCAAAATAGAAATCAATAGATATCCCTCGGTTAGCTCTAGGTAATGCATTCTTAGCATATAAACAACCATGCTACCCCATCACAGGCACAAGTGTCCAATGGAATTCGTTAATATCTGCAAGATCAATTTGTAACTGAACCTCGACAAAGAATCAAGTTGAATTTCCAACTGCTATTTGGAATTGCTCTGGTACGCGAAGCAATGGAGCCTGAATGGTACCAGGCTTACCTAATTGACCACAGGCAGCCATTTGATCATCACCTCTGCTAAGTCGTAAAAAGACTATCAATCCAGCACCAGCCAGCGTATTGCGGAATTCGATCATCCTTTCCTCTTTGGTTGGTCTGAAGAATGATCCACTGTGCGGATTGAATGAGATTAGATTAATCTTGCAAGGAATGCCCTCCACGAGCTCGATAAGCCTCTTTGCATCTTCATCACTGCCGTAAATGTATAAGTTAGTGTTATACAATGAGAAAATAAAGGTATATACAATGAGAACAACAATAATAGTTTGTCTCCATGTATCAAGTTCATAATGAAAATGAACAACTAAGGAGAAAAGAGGAAAAACATGGAACATATCATAGATCAAGTATAGAGGAATTACAACCATATAGGACAGTATTGACACAGCACATTGGAAAAGGGGAGGGGGCACGAGGGATATCGGAGCATCAATGAAAATTATTGAATGCAAGTAATGTGACACTTATTAATTACATTACATATGCATGATCCTCAGGCTAAGTAGCATCAAGAATGACAAGAGAAAGAACTTGATGAGGGCAGATACTAGAGCAGGAAGGGGCAAATGAGACGAGACCCTGAATCAGGACCTAGTAAATGAAACTAAGGATATACAAAAAAAACCCAATTTTAACACTAAGCTGGAAAAAGCTACCAATATAGTACAGAACATCGTGCAAATTCATTTTTTTATTCCAACTAAATCCTATAATCATTAACGCAATTTACATGTAAAAATTTTGCATATGACAAGACACATTGCTAATAGCCTAATACACAAAGTCATTTATGGACAGGATTACTATAAGTCTGCATATGATCCATCTCATGATAACTGATGCAAGTTATTACATTTCGAAAGCAAAAACAAGAAGCTCTGAACTGAAACATTATTTGTCTAGCAACCTGGACACAAGGAAAATATCTAGAACTATTCAACACAAGCAACATATACAAGGTAAAGTTTGCCTAACCTGTCATTAATTCCTTCGAGCATCACATACTCAAATAGAACTTTGTAGTTGTTTTTGAAGCAAAGCTCCTCTCGAAGTGTTTGAAGAAGCAAGTCCAGTTTATACTTACGATTTATAGGCATGATCCAGTTTCTTACCTGACATATTAGATTCAAGTGTGACCAATCCTCCCTCTCTTCCCATCCTTGCATTTTTCATGTCTAATTCAAAGGGTATTCTACCAGCCAATAATAGTGAAATAATAAGAAATTTACCTCATCAGTAGTTGCATTCAAACTAACAGCTAATGCACAGTTGGATTCATGGAGGAAGCGTTTGAGCTGTGGAACAAGCCCACTGGTTGAAACAGTAACCTTGCGGGGGCTGAAATAGAGCCCTTGCTCATCCACCATTATATCTGCAGCTTTAATGACATTATCAATGTTATGAAGTGGTTCCCCCATGCCCTAAAATAAATGTATAACAGCTATTAGCAAGTAATCAACAAAATGACAAATGAGTAGCTCTATTTTATCATTTCCTCCCCTGCTGATCTCTAGCACAAATGATATATTTGTAAGCATCAGCAGAATTGATGGTAGGTAATAGAAGAAGCAGATATCCATAATGATGCATGCAACATTGAAAATAAAATGTAATTTTTTTCATAATGCTAAATAGTTGTAAAATTAGAGAGCTTTGCCTTCATATTTTCTGAAATAGCATGACTGAGGATAAATCAGAAGTTAGGGTATCAAAACTTTAGCTAAAAGCATAGAATAGTATGATTAAATAATTGGTCCATAAGAATGGACACACAGAAAACTTTTTTGGAAAATTGAAGCATTACACCATAATATTAACATGGAAAATCAAGGGCACAGTTAAAAAGGAAAGGAGCACATCAGCATGCATGATAATGTGAATAAACATATATAGTGCACTTGCAGAATAAAGTCAAAACTAAAAAATGTGCATTTGTTTCCAAGACAATAGTTAGATCTAATAATCTATCACTATATTGTGATGTCAACATGTCAATGCAGATCTGACAGAGAGAAGTGGCATCTTAATAGCTAGCACTCTAGCAGGGTGCAGAAGAAAGAGATGCCCTTGAATAAAGTAGAAATTTTGATCTACACATATTGTTGATAGTAAGCTTCAGAATTCTCAATGCGATTGTAGACCCACCATAAAGACAACGTTTGTGATGGAACCAACTTCGCTTGTGAGCAGCCTTCTAGCAAAAACAGCCTGCTCTACTATTTCTGCAGCAGTAAGATGTCTCCTAAGACCCATTCTGCAAAATAATAATGCATAATAAATTTGCAGGATGTTAGGTAACCAAAATTAGTACTTAGCTATGATGTCAGTTAGGGACATATTAGTAGTTAGCTAAAATATATTAATTAGTTATCTTAATTAGATAGTTACATTATATTAGTTAGTTAGCCTTAATTAGTTAGTAATTTGGTATGGTTGAGATTGTAGCAGAAACAAGGCACATTGACTCAATGAATAAGAGGGAGGAAGAGAGAGAGGTCAGCTTGTCAATTGTGAGAGAGTTAGGGCCTTTGGCTTAGGAGGTGCAGTCCCTAGAACTGTCGAGTGTGTGTGTGTTTTATTCTGTAATGTTGGGAGTTTCTTGTATTTCATAATAAAGATACCAGTTTATATCACAGGAAAAGCAAAACATTGTGTAACCACCAAATTGATCACAACAGGGAAAAATAAGGCTTGCCTTCCAGTGTAGCAAAATTGACAATTCATGGCACATCCAACTTGACTTGAAACACACACAGTAGTCCTTCCTCTGTCACAAGGTATGACAACTGTTTCTATGACCAGACCATCATCCAACGTGAATAAAATCTGCAATATCCTGTGAGTTTAACAGTCAACAAGAAAACTCCCCACAAAATACAAACTATGAGAAAGTAATACAAGTCCACACAAAACTATAAGCCTAAATATCATCTAACCTCCAGGTTGCTTGTCATTGTCCTGCTAGACAGGTTAAATGACGAAAATACAAAAAAGAAACAAAAAAAAAAAAGAGAAAGACCATTTTAACCTTCCTAGTTCCATCAGATGCTGTGTGAATTTCTTGCAGAGCGAGCGCCTTGAACTCAGCATTTTCATTCAACATTTTCTTGAAATCTTTATTCAAACCTAAATCATAAGATTGAAACAAAAATAAACTTAAAAGAATCACCAGTCAATTCACACTATCCGGCTCAAAGTTCATAAGCAATTCTTCATTATTTCACCAGGAGAATCCGAAGAACTAATAAACCAACATTATTGCTCGAAGCACTAAGTACTAACATAGTAACATTATAAAACAACAGAGTTTTTGCCCCCTTCTAAAAAACATGCAGCGTTGAAATGAAGAAGAAATAACCTTCCAACTCATCAATATGATGTGCCCAAATGTTGTTTCCATACATACGCTTCCATAACATCATAGCTTGCCCAGGCCTGTATCCATGTGATTGAACCCATTTCTGTACAGTGATAATAACCATTAGTAACAAATTTTGAGTCACCAAGTGGAATTTAAATACCCAATTCTTCTTTCTTCTTTCTTTTATTTTGCTCTTGTTCATGAGACTTTCAACATGAAAACGAAGCACCAACAACAGAAAATCGTAGAAATGAACCTAAGTGGGTTCAAATCCTGGTGACTTATATAAGAAATATATAATAAAAATATATATATAAATTTTTAGAAATATTTGATATAATATATTTAATGTTAGAAAACTTGAACAATAAATTAAAAATCGAAAAGCATACTTCAAATTCAGGGTAAGTCATCCCTTTAAGAAGCGTCTTCGAACCTTTACTTGAAATCGCAACACTGTCACCATCTTCTGCATCAGATAAGCACAGTGAAATTACAGCGACAAATAATAATAATAATAATTGAAAAAAGAGGAAGGGTAGTGACCGAAATGAGAGAAGTTGTAATCGTCAGTGGTTAAAGCAGAAGCAGAGAGGAAGCGACGGGGGCGAGTGAGGGTAGAAAGGAGATACGACGACGTTTTGGGGAAAGAGAAGGTGAAGGTGATGGTTAAGCGAGTGGGTGTAGTGAATAGGAGAGGGAAGGGTTGAAAGAGAGTAAAATTTGAAACTGCTCCTAATCCTATCGCCATGCGCCTCAATCTCATGCTCATCCAATGCTTCATCCTTCATTGCCTCCCTCTCAATCTCAAGCAAACAAATCACACCCCATACACTACACACATCTTAGTTAGAGCAAGATTTTTCCTTTTTTTTTTTTTATTACTTTTATATTTTTAACTTTCAAGAAATGATGCAATTTTTTGTAATTATTGTTAAAATTATTTATTGATTAAAATTAAAATTTTCTTTTAATTATTTATCATAATAATAACACATAAATAAGAATATAAATTTTTAGCCTTTTTAAAATAGAGAGTAAAGACTATTATGCGATATTAAAAAAAATCAGAAAAACTTAAGAAGATCATTTCTGATTTTTATACAAAAATTTAATTTATTTTAATAACTTGTTTGATTGTGAAAATAAGATTTTAAAATTATTAATAATATTGATAATAATTAAATTGAATCATATTTAATTTAGAATGAATTAAATATGTACTTGTAGTATTATATAATACATAAAATAATATATCAATGAAAATGTTTAAATAAATACCTTATTCTTGTAAAAGTTATTACATTTGAAATTAGTATAAAAAAAATTAGGTTAGAAGTTAGTTGCTAATAAATTAAATATAAAAATTTATTTTTTTATTATTAATTTTTATTTGTTAAATGTTAAATATGCTAACAATATTTCAACTCTGTGCTATAAGTATTGTGGCAAAATTTTATTCAAATTTGAATGCAATATTTAAAAATATTTTAAATGAAGGCTTAGATAAAATTTTGATTGCTATAAAAAAGTGTTATATTTGAAATTAATTTTTTAAAAAAATAAGAATTTTCTTAATAAATTAAGCAACTAAAAAACTAGTTAGGTCGTTAACATATAATTGTTAATTGTTAAATTTATTGATAAAACTTTAACTTAATATGCAATAATTTTTGTAGAAAAAATTATCTATTTTAAAATATTTTTAAAAATTATATGCCTTTTAATATATGAGTTTGTCACGTATAATATTAAGTTAAAATTTTACTAGTTAATTTAACACATATGGGACAAAAGTTAACACTCATGACTAATTTTTTACTCTTAGAAATTTAACTCTAACAATATTTTAGACTAATTTTAAATATAACAACTTTTATAAAAATTAAAAACTTATTTAAACTTTAATTTTTACTAATATTTTGCTTTATAGACTTTTAAAATAAGAAAATCACTATATTATTCAAGGTATATAACTGTTAATTACATTAATTCTTACAATAGTCTACTATAGTTAAATTAATAAAAATATTGATATGAGATGTTAAGAGTCAAGTGAACTTGCACATTTAACTTTGATGTTAAGAAACATAAAAAGTTATTTATAAAATTCTATCAATTTATTCTTGGAACCCTAAATTTAAAAAATTATATTGTTGTCCTTATTGTTTTCATCCCTTTTTTTTAAGCTTTTTCTCTCTCTATTCTTAATTCTCCTCTACCAAATAATATTTAGAGTGTGAAACTGGACGTAAGGTAATTTTTCATCCACAAGATTAGGGATACAGGAGATGAAGAGGAAGTTAAGATAAATGAGGTTATCAATAAAAGAAGAATGAAATAAAGTTTAGAGAAGTAAAGGGGGTAAGATAATGGCTTAAGGGAGAGCAATGAATGAATAGGAGTGATAAAGGGGTTGCAAAAATTGAGGAGCACCTAATTTATTAGTTGTAATGATATCTTTGATGTGTTCCAAGTGATGATTTTGATGGGAATTATAACAAAGTAGTTGAAGGTGGCTCAAAGAGGAGTTTTATTACAAGAGTGTAATGGTCATCCAATATGGAGTTATGAATAGGGAGGAAAAAGGTTACAAGAAAGGGATAAAAATAATTAAGACTAAAATAACATGATTTTGGAATTTAGAGTTCTAGAAATTATATCGAGAGATTTAAAAATAGTTCTTGTATATTATTCAAACATCAAAATTAGATGTACAAATATACTTGTATTTAAGTGTCACATCAATATTTCCATAAGTTTAACTAATAATTAGTTGTTATAAGGACTAAATAACTTAAAATTAAATGTGTCAGGAACTAATAAAACTATTTTTAATTTTTAGCTTTAAGATTATTTTTTTGAGCCCTTAAAATGATATGCACTAATATGGTAGGTTTCTTCCTCTTGAATTATCTAAATAGATGGTTTGACTAGTTATGAAATTTTTACTAATTTTGTTAAAATCATATTTTAAGATATGAAAATAATTTTTATGAAATAAATAGTAAATATTTTTAAAGATAGATATATTTTAAAATATTTAACTAGGAGAAAAAAAATTTCAAATTAGATGAATAAAAAAAATTATATCAACAAACTATTTTTTAGATTGATCAATTTTATAATAACTAGTGTCATGGCTCGTGCATTCACTTAGTGGTCATTTTCTTTTTTATTATATAAGGAAGAGAAGAAACGATTAGGCTTAACAAAGAAAACTAAAGGTAGGTGAGTAAAGAGTCAATTATTCACTATTATTTGAGGAAAGGAGAATGTGATAGAAATATAAGTATATCTTATCATAACAATGCCACCTTGAAGAATGATTAAAAGATTTATGAACTCAAACTCACCATAAAAGACCCTTTAAATTTTTCTTCTCTTTTTTCTATGCTTTGGATAAAATAATAGATAAGTTTAAGAATGTTTAATCATTCCATTGAATATAAAACATGCTCATATGTCTTCTTTGGGATGCAATTGTTGTTAGAGTACATCAATTTGAATCTTTAGGAACTCTATTATTATTATTGTTGTTATTATTATTATTGCTATAGCATTAATTAATCTTAATCAGAAACATAAAAATTAATTTATGTTAACGAGAATTGGGAATGAGCAATCCTTTTTACTTACTTTGTTTATGGAGGACTAACCACAAAAATAGTGAGAAATTGAGTTAAAAGAGACACATGTGTGAACATTATAATTTTATTCTCCTTATCTTTATTATGAGTGACTTCTCTATTTACATAATTTTTTAGAACTATTCTGCAACCACATTGAGCTGAAATAGAACTAGTTAAACTAGAAAAATATCAAGATAATTAAGTTTCTTTTTAAAAAACCTCATATTTTGATTACCATTAGTTGTCTCTTTTGAGTCTAATAATTTTAATAATGCTCTTTTGACATCCTGTTTTGATTCTAATATGTTTTATATGTACCTTTGAAAAATCAATATGATAGGAAGAGTACCATAAATAAAATAAAGAATAAAATATTTAAAATAGAAAAATAATGATAAAAAAGTTTGATGTAAAAAAGAAAAAGAACAAAGTTTTAGGACAAAAAGTGGTTGGTAAAGACAAAATAAATGAGAAATGTAATACATTGTCTTAGGGTCTTCTCTTATAAAGGATTTAAAGGTAAATTAAGTCTTTTGTATATCATTCCTTTTTTATACCATGCGCTGACTTTGTCCTAAAACATTTTATCAAGATACAACCAATTGAAGACCTTTTCATTCATAGGATAATTAGTCAAATTAGTGGATGTTTATAAGTTTATGAGTAAGCTTATGGTATGTTTCGAAGAAGATTTAGTGAATTGTCTCTTAACCTCATTAAACACTTAAATTACCTATTCAACATAATGTTGAGTGAGTAAGAACTTATGTTTTATTGGGTTATCATCATGAAAGTTCTTATATGGTAAATATGTTTGTTTACTACATGTGTGTATTCCTTATATTTCTTGAGATTAGATTTAATATATTTTTATTTCTATGTTTTTATTGTTTAAGGATAAACAATGCTTAAATTTAAAGAGTTTGAGAAGTTTGATAAATTATCATTCAGTCAATTTATTTATGAGAGTTTAGCCTATTTTTTCATTAGAATTATTATTTTATCCTTTGAACTAGTTAGATTTTTCTTGGTTTTATTGTAAGAAGTAGCAACAATGCAGTTTGATTAAAATATGTCAAATCATAAAAAAAATTATTGAAATAAGTAAATAATGGGTAAATCTAAATCTAAAATTTGAATTTCAATTTTGAATTTAGATATGAATTTTGAAATTGACACCAAAAAATTATTATTTTATATAAGTCAAATCATATCATTTTTAGATTCTATATTCTATATAAATGACCTTACTTATCCCTTTTTATCTTTTCTCTCTTTCTAATCACAAAGTTATGCTTCTATCAAGTAGATTGACCATGAGAATTTTTCTTTCTTTATTATTTTTTTACTATGCATGTTTTGTGTTTAGTACTTTTACTTTCATCTTTATGACTATATGTAATTAAATCTTATTTTACCATGGAACTGAGGTAGATTCTTGTGATATATCTGATAAATTGTCATTTTATCACTTTGTTTTTTATATTTTAGTCTATTTTTTATTATAATTATTATTTTTCCCTTTAAATTAGCTAAGTTTCTTTTGAAATTATTGTAGAAAGTTGTAACAATACAACCTAGTTTAAAAATGTTAAATTATAAAGAAAAGTTATTGAAATGAGTAAATAATGGTAATAACACGATTGATAAAATTTCACTTTATTTATAAGATTTTTAACCTATTATTTTGTTAAATTATTATATTACCCTTTAATTGGCTAAGTTTCTCTTGATTTTATTATAGGAAGAGGTAACAATACAACTTTATTAAAAAAGGTCAAATATAAAGAAAAGTTGTTGAAATGAGTAGAGAATGAATGAATTATGAATCTAAATATTGAATTTCAATTTTAAATTTGGATTTAAAATTTAAATTTGACAACAAAAAATCATATTTTTTTATAGATATTATATTTTTTTTATGAATAAGTCATATCTTTTAGATTCTACATTCTATATAAAGGAACTTATACACTTAACATTGGACACTCAACCTATCTCTCTCTCCATCTGCTTCTCCTTTTCTTTATCACGTAGTTGTAGTTATGTCAAAGTAAATTAGTCATAGGGGTTTTTATTTTCTTATTATTTATTATTTTTGATATTTTATTTTTACTCTCCTTTGTTTTCATCTTTACAACTATGTGTATACCTCTTGCCATGGAGCTAAAGTGGATTCTTATTATATAATTATTTTTGAACCTCAATTTAATTTTATGA